TGGTTGATTTTTCTTAGGTCTCGAGCAGACCAATATTCTCTTGTCCCCGGTTTCAACACCGGTACGATAAGGGTGTTGTCCGGAAACTGGCAAAGTTTTAAAAGTCCAGTTTTTAGGTATTGATCCCTTTAGGTGTGATCCCTTCTAAAGCTTCTTTGCGCAGGGGATATTGCCTCTGGTTTATAATAGGTGCTCTAGGTTTTAAAGTAATTTTAACCGGTGCCGCTGACTGGGCTCATCCAGGCCTTTCTTATGCCCAGACCTCTGGATTCACCTTTTGTTGAATATGGAAAGGAATGCCACTACTTATCACCATTTCTTGCAATAGTGTCGCCTGCAAGGCACATGCATTTTCAGGTGGGATCTGTAGAAAATGGAAAGGAACAACTCTGCCATCCTATTTGGGTTACTCTGATAAGGAGGATAGTGATTCTTTTAATCATACAAGTCGGAGGTAGAGAAAGGAGTATGTACTAACATTGTTCCTCCTTCGGCTGGAATTTTTCTCAGAGGAAATTGCTCTGCCCGAGCCCCAGCAGTACCCTCGCCGAAAAATGGTACCCTGATAGGTGTGCATAGGGAGTAAGACCATACCTGATGAAGTCGGACCCTTACTTCCTGATTCCCTTCCTTGGTCAGTTTCTCTCAAGCTGGCCCGACTAGAATCAGGCTCAGCCCCTTCTGTGGGGACTCTGCTGTCATTCTTCGACCTGACCTTTAGGCTTCTACCACACCTTCCCTGTATGGCGGGGGGGAGCGGAAGCAGTTATCGGGGCTATTCCTTCTAAGAGGGGACCCTGCGGTGAGTATTCAGGAAGCACTTTTGCCTTCAGCTTTTCCTGGAAAAGAACCTGGTTAGAGGGATTTACAGTTTGATAGAGAGACATGAAAGCTTGAATATAGGGAACTTTGTCTCATTTTTCTTACAAAACAAGGCAATCTGAAAAATTGTGCCATAAGCTAAAGACCCATTTTGGAGACAATGTTTCTCGTCCCCCAGCTGGTATTGGGGCCATAGATTGTTGCATAAGCTTATCATTCTCTTTCTTGTCATAGGCTCATAGCTATACCTCCTCCAGTTTGTTAGAAAGCGGCCTAGAGGAGATTTTGCTGGGATAGATGGGCCTCCCCCCATAATAGGTGTTTGTTTATGCATAAGCAGCATCAGTAACTGCTTTTCATGTGCCTCAACAGCAACTACATTTTGCAAAACCTCAGATTGAGTATTAATATAAATATAGCAGCATTTCTCTATTTAGGCACAAACTGAGAGACTAACAGGAAAAGCTAATACTATTCAATTTTGTAAAATCATAGCTCAAATTTCAGACACTTCTCTGGTTATGATAGTCACAACTTTGCTAAGTTTACCAACAGAACTTCTAATTCAAGAGTTACAATATCTAAACCCATTAGTTAGATACTTTAGGAGACAGGAAAATGATTTCTTATATCTAGAAAGTAGGACCTTAAAACGTCAGCAATATTCTCACATAAAACCCAGTTTCCTTTCGTTTACTCAATCTTACATAGTTAATTTCTGTTCCATGTGATTCTGGATCAGTTGGAGTCTGTGAACTCATCAGCTTCTGCATAAGCGTTCTGGAAATTTTGATTGAGTCTAGTCACAGTCCTTTTAGCAAGTCTGATATAGTCCATCTTTTTGTTGAGATATTTTGATCAAACGTTTTCAGTAATTCAGCAAAGTAAAAACTTACCTCTCAGTATGGTTGGGGACCATCGGTGCCGTGACAAACCCAGGTCTGGCCGATAGTCTTCCCAGAGGCAAATGAAACCTCTCGCAGCCGCTTGTCGGGAGAACTGTCTACCAGTCCCAGGCCCTACCCCGGGGCTGCTGTGTCTCAAGTGCCTTGAGCTCCCAATACGGGCCACCAAATTTGTTACTGCAATAACACAGATTCAAAAAACACATGTTTTAACTGCAGCTATCCACACTACATCTCTCCATAAAGCTAAAAACCAAGTTATTTCTGCTTTTGAATTAGTTTAACTATTTTAGATTGTAGAAATCTGTTGTCTCTGATTATCTTTCCTCCCTAGATGAAATTCTTCTTTTCCCTGAAAAGAATTCAGAAGTGGGAAGAAATGTGTTTTTCCCTGTAACAACCAATGGGTAATTGTTTATTGTAAAGAATAAAATCAATACCAGTGTATGAAGAGGTCAAAATTTTGGAAGCTTATTAAATTATTTGATTTCTAGATAGAATTATAGCTTTATAATTACCACTTTCCTGTGCTCTATCCTATTTGTGAAGGAAGTCTACAGATTATTTCCAATAAGCCTCACTTAAAATAGCAGTTTCTTTTACATTCCTCTGACTATGATAAACCCTGTAATATTATTTTAGCTCATAAGATAGAACACCCCTTTGAATCTCAGAGCATGAAACACCTACAGTTTCTTCCTCCCATGTAGAAATCAAATAATGTTGTAGGACCAGAGTGATGAGCTAAATCTTCATTACACACTGAGAATGAAACTTGCCCAAGATCTGAGCTACCACATTTTAAAATTGCTCCTGGTTATAGATCCAAGGCTAGGAAAGCCCAAGAAAAGTTGAAATGAAGTAAAACAAAATGAAATATTTTTACCATTATTGTATAACCATCCTTCTTTTGCTTATTTTGATAGTATTATTTCACTCTCATATTTTGATAGTATTTTTACATTTTTATTGACATAGAAATGCATTATTTTCAGTTTAGTTTTTGTAAAGTGCCACCTGTGAGAAGGTCAGTTATTTTGAAAAGCTGAAGAGCATAAAACACAGTGTGCTATTGCTAACTGCACTATTAAAGGAGGTGGTGTGCAAATCCCACCTGTATCACTAACTGCATGACAAGGAACACCATAAATTTAATTCCCACCTGGAAGTGACCCAGGCTTCACCTTCCCACATCTCCATTCCTCATCACCAGCCACTTCTATGGTACTTCCTCTCTCACCCTAACCACTAAGAATTAGGTCAGAATTCATCCCCAGCTATACCTGAGCCAGGTCAAAATAACCCTGGCCACCTGGGGCCAAGTCATCAAATACTAACTGTAGGCTCAGGAGTCTGCACAACTCCCTGGACTTCAGACCAGCCAGCCCCCCTCTATTCCTCTAGTTCCCCTGGGCTAGGTCACAAGCTAGAAGGATTCTGTCCTTCTTCATCAACTGCCCGTGCAGGCTTTCTCTGTCACCCAGGCATCTAGAGCTGAGTCTTCACGAGTTATGATTCTGTCCTTATGACTGCCTGCACAGCCCTCCTCTGAATTAGTTACTCCAGAGTAAGTCAGTTGCCCCGTGGGTTCATTAATTCTCTAAAATGGCTCTTCTTGAAGACTATTACCTATACTTAAAGCTACATAGTTAATAGAACCAGAAAGGATACAAGCAAAGAGATGCATCAGGCAATGTCTGGGAGAATTCTCAGCACAAGGCTCCCATTGTCCCCAGGGATGTGACACCTTCTCCCTTACGTGGATGTCCTTACCACTCCAGGAACCTCCAAAAGAGGGCACTCCAAGGTCCTGTAGTCATTAGGGTTCAATGTGTTATGTATGAATCAGTGAATATACATGATTGACTGCATCATGTTCCCCTCTCTTCCTGAGGCCTGTTGCCAGGATGGGACCTGTGCAGCCCCTACTCATTTACACGTGTTTAAGTGTTGCCTGGCTATTTTATAAAACAAAGGCGCATTGATTGCTTTACTGTTTTCAGGGCAGAAACTAAAGGGCCAAACGGAGTTCTTTGTCCCACGGTTGACCTCTTTGGCCTTTGGCTGTGGTTTTTTCAGTATACTTAACATAGGGAGAATTACTCCCTGTCTCTCCTTATTACTGTCAATATCAGTATTTAACAGTGCCACTATTATAACATAACCTGAAAAATAAGGATCAGAAGATAATAGTGGTTGTCAGGGGCTAGGGGAAGGAGAGTAAGGAGTGACTGCTAATAGATATATGGCTTCTTTTGGGGGCAAAGAAAATTCTGGAATTAGTGATGATGGTTGCACCACCTCGTGAATAAAATCCACTGAATTATAGTTTAAAAAGATGAATTTTATGGTATGTGAATTATATCTCAATTTTAAAAAGGAGGTGGAAACTAACAAAAGGCCAACTGTTGTAGTAAATAATGACAGATGAGAGTTTGAAAGAAAGAAGTAAGAAAAACTATAAGTGAAAGACAGGAAAACTGAGGAAACCTACGAATATGAGCCAGTTCAGAAGCGTGACAAAATGTAGGTGGCTCAACCATGTGGGGCCAACTCTGCCAGCTTTACTCTCTCCACACATCCCCCACAAATCCCAGAAACTGGTGACCTCAGCCTCCTTTTAAGAAAAGATGGGTTATCTTCCAGCTTATCAATAAAAAAATTTCTGTACCTCGGTGAATTTCCTATTAAGGAATCTGGAAACCGTGACAAAAGAGATTACATTATAAAAAGGTATAGAAGCTTCTTTAAAAGATTTCTATCAAATAGTTCATTAAAAAAAAAAAGTTTTAAAACTTTAGTTATTGGTTAAATTTTACTTATGTAGAATAACTCATCCCCAATGGATGGTGTATAAGTGAATTGCTATTGTATTTCCTTGTTTTTCTCTGTATGGCCTTTTTACTTTCTTCTCTCAGCTTCCTTTCCTTACTCTCATTCTATGTATGCTTTGTTTTTTATTTAGGAGCATACTGGATTATGAGGATAAATTAAATAGATGTAACATCATGTCTTCCTTTGCAATTCATATACATTCAGAATAAGAAATAAATTTAATACAATCAATGAGAATTTCCTAGAGATTAATTAATGGCTTTTGGGTTTTAAAAAAATCAACAATATTTAACCTCTTGAAGGACCTTTGAAAATCAAGTGTAAAATAGGCACCTTACTTATAATTTGCCTTTAACTATCAATTAAAATGATAAACCCATAACTGACATGGCTTTTCACAATTATTGCTAATGATATTATTTTATTTTATTTATGCAGGAAATATCACACTCATTTATTACAGTTTGATGGTGAAGGAGGTTGGCGCTTTGAGCAATTGGATACTGCTACCCGTTTAACACTGAGTGAAGAAAAACAAAAGCTAGAATCCCAGCTAGCTGGAGTTCCCAAAATGCAGCAGAGACTCAATGAACTATGTAAAATTTTGGGAGAATACTCAGTGCTGAAGACAATAAAAATTGAAGATGAGATATCCTAATTTGTTTTGACATATTTTACAAGTTAATTTTTAGGTAAAGGCTTTAAGAAACTCAGAAACACCCTGTTACAGTGCATGCATTGTGTTAAACTAAGCACAGAGGAAAAAAGCAGCAAGAAATGTTTTATAAAATTTTAGCTTCAAGGAAGTATATGATCTGAATTTTCAGAAGAAAATAAACAAATGCATTATGTAAAGATTAGTGATTATGGCTTATACTAATTCCTACTGGAAGCCTGTTTCACCTGCGTAACTGGATTTTCTAAGTAATTCGCGATTAATACCGTATTTGCCATGTGTATGTGATGTCTGAATTTCTTAATAAACATGGGGTATATCTTGGGAATGAAAAAATTTAAGGCAGCATTTGGGTTGATACCAGGTGTATAAAATTAAAAGTTTGAGTAACATTTTAGTACATTCCTGGTTGATACTAGGTTTTATAGCTAGAATTCATGTTCATCATTGCTAGTGGCCAGGTAAACTTCTACACAAAATAGCTAGCAGTTTGATACATAATTTCAATATGAAAAAAAATATAATGGCAGTGGTTGAAAGAAAGAAGCATGGCTATACATGTATAAAATGCCATATTATTTAATTTTAGACTTTGAGCATCTTAATGCAGATATAGCATATTTTAATGAGAATCTTACATATTTTTAAACAAATTTTAAAAAGAAAATTGTCAGTAAAGAAAAGGACTATCCAAACAATGTTTTACCCAGCCTGTTATTTTACTTGGTAGCAGTATGTATTACAACTTCTATCCAGAAATACTCAGCTTGTTTTTGTGCCCAAAGGAAGAGTCCACCACTTTTTTATATTGCAGTGCTGTAATAGAAAATAGGGATTTTCAAAATCACAGTAGTAGTAACATACATTGGAATAGTACTTTATAATTTGCAATCCTTATTTACATCATCTCATTTTAATCCTCATGACAGTCTTTTGGGCAGGTATTATTGTTCCTAGTTTGCTTTTGAGAAAATTAACACTCAAATTTGTCCCAATCGTACAACTTAATTAGGAGCAGAGGCAGAGATTAAATGTAGGTCTCCTGACTCCCTGGTTCAGCACTGTTTCCACTATTACCCTATAAAGCTAACTGTGCTTTCATATCAGTAAGTTAGGTAAGATGTTGAAAAACAAATTAGGTATTGTTGATGTTATTTGGTTATTGTTTATAAGAAACAGAAATTAAATGCAAAGTGGGAAGGTCCTTGGTCTGTAACTAAAAATGAGCCAAGGAAGTAAGCAAATCTTTCAGCAACTCTGCTTCACATTCAGTACTAACGTACCTCTAAGACATGAACAATCAGAAGGGCAATTAATTGTATTAGACAAATTTAATATTAATCTTAATGAGAAAGAATCTATGTAGAATATATGGAAGTTTTTATCTGTGTGCCTTGGAAGTACACTAGCCAAGCCTGACACTGTAACCTTCTACTGCCTATGCCACCACGTTGATAGGGCAGGAAGAATTGGAAAGATCAGTTGTGAGTGGCTTGGAATTTTATTTGCGTATTTAGACAGCCATAGCAGATGCTAACACTGTGATTTCCAGACTTTTTCAGGTGGTAGAGTGCCCGGAAATCATCCGTGGTGATCATTGTAGAGCATCATGGCATTTTGACATTTTCAATTCTGCCATGGCAAGACATTTTTCGTTTCGATAAATGTAACCATCTTATGTGAAGGAAAGCAATATAAAGTCATAATCAGGACACATGTCCAAGTTTTTCTGTTAGTAATTGTTAGCTACTCATTTATTCATTTTGTCAGTTACTACTACTTCCTATTTAAAAAGTGAGGCAGATAATAAAAGTTTAAGAAAAAACATGAAACCAAAATTTAAACCTGAAAAAAATTATCCATTATTTTCTATATTAGCAGCTATCCAGTTTATACAAGACTGCTGTAAGATTAAAAAATCTCAAGCAAGTGAATTAAGTTAACTTTTAAGGGTACACAACGAAAATGAAAAGTCCTCATTTGAAACACAAGCATATTTTCATGTCATAATTTTCATAATTGAAAAGATTAAAAATTCAAGATCTGATATGTTTTGAGGCTTTTAGGTCGTTTAATAAAAAGGATGCCAAAACAAATACTAGACTGTAATTAAGAACTAACTTAGTATACCCTATCAGTGAGCTGAAGTAAGACTCATTATGTATCATGTACAGGATTCAAGGATGCTTTAAAGTCTATATTACAAACTATACATACTGTAATTCAAATGTTAAAGTTCTAAGAGGAACATGTTTTCCATGAGCTTTTTTGTACCTATTTATTTTCTGATTTTTTTCCCAGGACCATTATTCTCTAACTTGGAGGGTAAAAAATTCTGTGATTTTAATTTGTATTTATGTACCATGTAACTGTTTCCAAAATAGTCCAATAGGTATGTCATATTTTGCTACTACTATAGGTACACTTTGTGAAAAAGACTGAGAAACTAAGTGGCCATTTTTAATATAGCAAGGAATACATAAGGAAAAGGAAAAAGAAGGATATTTCCATTTCAGACTGGTTTTACCATGTTACCTATTTGCCCAAACTTTTGACTTTTATTATTTCTTTATCAAAGAAAGCTGTAAGTTTATGGAACTTGATTTTTAAATGTTCATTTTTCTTTTGTCACCTCAAACTTGGAAAATAAGCTGCATTCTATGAAAATGTTGGATTTTATTTCTACAGCATGTAGTGCTATGCCGAGCATGAGACTAAAATGGTATGTATTCTTATTGACTGTCTCATTATCCAACATTTTGCATTTACAATGATAGTAAAAAATCTACTATCTGACTATTTTGCGCATTAACAGCATATGTCTGGCAGTAGTGAACACCAAAGTCCAAGGCAAGAGTAACATTGTCTATGTTGGTCAAGGTTATATTTCAGATTGGCTGGGCCATGATTCTCAGTGATTTGGCAGTTATGTAATAATTAATTTGGCAGTTATGTAATGATGTAGTCACCCTCCTTTTTGTGATCCAGTGTGGTCATCCTCCATTTTTGCATGATCCTTTAATAAAAAGGATGCCAAAACAAATACTAGATAACACGAATTTTTGCATACCAACCAATTTTTGCATAACAACCTGTCTTTGGAACCTAACCATGTCGATAAGTGAGGAGTGGGTGTGATGTGTAAAAATCCCTCTAGAATAATCTCAAGAAGAAAGCTGTATCTTGAAATGCAACCAAAATTTGTACTTGTTTACAGTAGGAATGGTTTTCCCTTGTTAGTAATTTGGTTTTTGTGTCAAATTTTGATCTGCCAGTAAAGGTATAATTGAAGATAGTTTTTTATTTAGGTTTTGGTTCCAAGTATAATTTCATATCTGTCAAGAGGCTTAACCTATTACAATCTGTTTGAAAATAGTTTTTTAATGCTTTTAGCCTGGAAAAATCTGTGACACATTGGAAACCAAATCCAGAAAATGTTACATACTTCTGAGATGTGCAGAAAATGGTAAAGATTATTAAATCCTTGATTATAGGAGATGCTTTTGATAAGAATTTATGGACAAAAATTTTTCTCATTTAGAAGTGTGAATTTCACATAATCCAGGATATTTAAAGTCTGCTGATATACATTTAAGTATATCACATATGTTTTGGAGTTGTACATTCTAATGTTTGCCACGCAAGAACCTTCAGGTATGTGTATAAAATATTTTTATTAAAAACAGATCCCTTCTTCTTCATTGTTGGTGCCTTTCATGATTACCAAATATAAAGTACTTTACAGTTTTGTGAAAATTTCAGAACCAGTGATCCATTTCTTATAAGCTGGATTGTGTTAATGAAAGTGAATGAGAAAATGGTCCTCAATGGTAAAAAATCACTATGTAGCTAAATTAGAATGTGGCTTTGTATAAATGCATTACATATGATCTCCATCCAATATGCAGTTTGTTGAGCTTAGTATTGTGAATTTCTTAATCATCATGAAAAAGTCTTGATTAATCAAAGGAATTTCAAATTATTACAATGGTGGAAAATGCTCTACTACTATACTTTTAAATGACTGTGTGGGGTATGTGGCTACACACACCTCAATTACAAATTGTGTGGTACACCACTTTATATAGTAGTATGCACAATATTCACCGAACAATTGCTTAAATATTTATATTTATTCAACACACATTTATTAAATGCTTACCTTTGCCAGGTATTACGCTAGTTGTAGGAATAAATAAAATATGATCTCTGTCCTAAGAAGATTATACTCATTGCCATCAAGTTGATGCCAACTCATAGTGACCATAAAGGACAGAGTAGAACTGCCCTACAGGGTTTCCAAGGCTGTAAATCTTTATGGAAGCTGACTGACACATCTTTTCTCCCCCAGAGCAGACCTTTTGGTTAACAGCCAAGTGCTTTAACCACTGTGCAACCAGGGTTCCTCCCAAGTACGTAGCGCTCTTTAACCCTGTGACTCTGCTCTCTAACTTTTTTATAGTTACTGTACCAAGTATAACTCTGTGAAGCTTCATAAATGAGCACCCTCAGCCAAGTAAGCACAAAGCATGGCATATACATTAGCTCATTAAATCTTCACAGAACTCTGATTTAACAAAAGAGGAAAATGAAGCACACGCAGGTTAAGTAACTATTGTAGGGGAAAAACATCATAAAGTTAAGCAAAAAGAAAGTTTTATTCGGCATATATTCAAAAAGGCAAAAGTGGGAAATGGACAGCCATGCTGCCAGAGCCATGTCTGCTTGAGTCCAAAGAATATTACAGAATAGGCAAGAATGGGAAAACAGACAAGCACACTGCTAGAGCCATGTCTGTGGAGTCCAAAGAATATTACAGAGTCATCAGTATAAACATTACAAGTGGGCAAAACCATTGAAAGCTTCACCTTTTCACAGATAGGCTAGAAACTGTGATCCTACATTTTGAATCGTCTTTCTTAACAATCATTGGTACAGGTTTTGGTAACGACAGGAGGGTCTTCATTGGCCCAACAAATTTCTATTCACTAATAGAAAAAGACAAGAGTGGAAAGTCTTTTTGTGTTCTGTTTGATTTGCTTTATATGAATGTTTCCCTAAAGGATATTTTCCAAGATTATCTTAGCTATTGCCTTTATACCTCAGGGCCCAGTTGATGTGTCCTTGTGAGACCAGCTCCAGCTGGGTCACATTCTCTATGCTCAAGGACAAGGAATAATAACTCCAATATTATTTCCCAAATCATAAGTCATCCAGATTCATACAGTTACCAAGACATAGAGCTGAAATTTTAACCTAGCAATATTTGATTGCAAAAAGCCTATGCAATCCACGTTGCTTTCCTTTTAATTAGTTTAGGCTCTTTTTTGTTCTTACTATTTTTAACTCCAAAGTTCTAAGTGTTTTTTAAATTAGCTTAGGGTTTCTGGTTAACCAAATGGATGCATTTTATTATCTGAAAGGAAATTTTTGTAGTGTGTAGGAGTATTTAAAATCTAAGGGGTTTGACAGTCTCGGAAGAGCTAAGACAAGAGGCAGGCTAAACTTCACTATGTTGAATGTGTAAGAGTATTCTAAAATTGAGGCATTCAGCATACCCAGAAATGACTGACCAAGGGTTGAATTGGACTCCATCTTTAGACTCTATAGACTCCTTTTTTTTTTTAAGGCGCCATTTCTGCTTTAAAGTGTATAAGGGCACTTCAAAATCTGGAGTACTTGGCATCATAAAATGGCTGTTGCAGGGAAAAACTGAACTCCATTCTGTTTGCACTCCTGCTTCTGCTTTAAAGCTATAACCATTGTACTAATTTCAACAGTTTGCTGAACAAGTAACGTGGCTACGCTTAGACAAGTCCATGCTATGCTTAGACAAGTTCAGACAAGCCCAGGGAGGGTCCGAGAAAACGTTGCAAGAATGTGGCTATGCCTAGACAAGGCCAGGGAGGGTCAACCAAACACAATTTTGCCGAGAAGTTCCTGCTTTTCAACTACAAATATCTATCCTCAGCTCCAGCAAACTGGAGCACTTTGTAACTGCCTGGTTGCTCTGTGCTACCCCAAGTTGCAAATTGCTCTATCCCTCGATAAACCTCTTTTGCTTTTACTTTAAGCAGACTTAAAGTGATTTTGCTGTACAACAGTAGCATAAGTGATACGTTTTTAATGCTTTTATTATAAATTATG